GTGGTCAGAGTTTGTGTCCATATGTAATGGATTATACATTATTTGTGTTTTATGTGGTCAGGGATTTTGTCCAAGAACAATGGGTAACATATTGTCTATGTTTTATGTGGTCAGAGTTTATGTCCATGAACATTTAGTAACACATTATCTATGTTTTATGTGGTTAGAGTTTCTTTCCATGGGTAATGGCTTATACATTGTCTATATTTTATGTAGTCAGAGTTTGTGTCCAAGAACAATGCGTTACATATTGTCTGTGTTTTATGTGGTCAGAGTTTTTGTCAAAGGGTAATGGGGTACACATTGTCTGGGTTTTTTGAGATCAGAGTTTATGTCCATGAACAATGGGTTACATATTGTCTGTGTTTTATGTGGTCAGAGTTTGTGTCCATGGGTAATGGGTTATACATTGTCTATGTTTTATGTGGTCAGAGTTTGTGTCCATAAACAATGGGTAACATATTGTCTAATGTTTTATGTGGTCGGAGTTTTTGTCCATGAACAATGGCTTATATACTGTCTGTATTTTATGTGGTCAGAGTTTGTGTCCATGAGTAATGGGTTATACATTGTCTATGTTTCATGTGGTCAGAGTTTTTCTCAATAAACAATGAGTTACAAATTGTCTGTGTTTTATGTGGTCAGAGTTTGTGTCCATGGGTAATGGGTTACACATTGTTTGTGTTTTATGTGGTCAGAGTTTTTGTCCATGAAGAATGGGTTACATGTCATCTGTGTTTTATGTGGTCAGAGTTTGTGTCCATGAACAATGGGTAACATACTGTCTTTGTTTTATGTGGTCAGAGTTTGTGTCCATGAACAATGGGTAACATATTGCCTATGTTTTATGTGGTCAGAGTTTTTGTCCATGAAGAATGGGTTACATATTGTTTGTGTTTTATGTGGTAAAAGTTTTTGTCCAGGAACAATGGGTAACATATTGCCTATGTTTTATGTGGTCACAGTTTGTGTCCACGCGTAATGGGTTACACATTGTTTGTGTTTTATGTGGTCAGAGTTTTGTCCAAGAACAATGGATTACATATTGTCTGTGTTTTATGTGGTCAGGGTTGGTGTCCAAATGTAATGGGTTACACATTGTTTTTGTTTTATGTGCTCAGACTTTTTAGCTATGGGTAATGGGTTACACATTTTTTGTGTTTTATGTGGTCAGAGTTTTGTCCAAGAACAATGGGTTACATATTGTCTATGTTTTATGTTGTCACAGTTTGTGTCCACGCGTAATGGGTTACACATTGTTTGTGTTTTATGTGGTCAGAGTTTTGTCCAAGAACAATGGGTTACATATTCTCTATGTTTTATGTGGTCAGAGTTTGTGTCCATTTGTAATGGGTTTCACATTGTCTGTGTTTTATGTGGTCAGAGTTTATGTCCATGAACAATGGGTTGTATATTGTCTGTGTTCCATTTGGTCAGAGTTTGTGTCCAAGAACAATGGGCTACACATTCTCTGTGTTTTATGTGGTCAGAGTTTTTCTCCATGAACATTGGGTAACATATTGTCTATGTTTTATGTGGTCAGAGTTTTTGTCCATGAAGAATGGGTTACATATTGTCTGTGTTTTATGTGGTCAGAGTTTGTGTCCATGAACAATGGGTAACATATTGTCTATGTTTTATGTGGTCATAGGTTTTGTCAATGGACATTGGGTTACATATTGTCTGTGTTTTATGTTGTTAGAGTTTGTGTCCATGAATAATTGGTAACATATTTTCTACGTTTTATTTGGTAAGAGTTTGTGTCCAAGGGTAATTAGTTTCACATTGACTTTTTATAGCCTTGGGTAATGGGTAACACATTGTCTGTGTTTTATGTGGTGAGAGTTTGTGTCCATTGGCAATTTGTTACACATTGTGTTTTATGACATCAGAGTTCGTGTCCATGAACAATGGGTAACATTCTGTTTGTATTTTATGTAGTCAGAGTAGTCAGAGTTTGTGTCCATTTGTAATGGCTTATACATTGTCTGTGTTTTATGTGCTCATGGTTTTGTCCAAGAACAAATGGTTATACATTGTATGTGTATTTTGTGGTTGGGGTTTGTGTCCATGGGTAATGGGTTACACATTATCTGTCTTTCTTGTGGTCAGAGTTTTTGTCCATGAACAATGCGTTATATATTGTCTGTGTTTTATGTGGTCAGAGTTTTGTCCAAGAACAACGGGTTACATATTGTCTACGTTTTATGTGGTCAGAGTTTGTGTCCATGGGTAATGGGTTACACATTGTCTGTGTTTTATGTAATTAGAATTTCTGTCCATGAACAATGGGTTACATATTTCTATGTTTTATGTGGTCAGAGATTGGGTAATGGGTAACACATTGTCTGGGTTTGATGTGGTCAGAGTTTGTGTCCATGGGCAATTTGTTACACATTGTGTTTTATGACATCAGAGTTTGTGTCCATGAACAATGGGTAACATACTGTTTGTATTTTATGTAGTCAGAGTTTGTGTCCATGGGTAATGGGTTACACATTGTCTGTATTTTATGAGATCAGGGATTGTGTCCAAGAACAACGCGTTACATATTGTCTATGTTTTATGTGATCAGAGTTTTTTCCATGAACAATGGGTAACATATTGTCTATGTTTTATTTTGTCAGAGTTTGTGTCCATGAACAATGGGTAACATATTGTCTATGTTTTATTTGGTCAGAGTTTGTGTCCATGAACAATGGCCGGTAACATATTGTCTATGTTTTATTTGGTCAGAGTTTGTGTCCATGAACAATGGGTAACATATTGTCTTTGTTTTATTTGGTCAGTGTTTGTGTCCATGAACAATGGGTAACATATTGTCTATGTTTTATTTGGTCAGAGTTTGTGTCCATGAACAATGGCCGGTAACATATTGTCTATGTTTTATTTGGTCAGAGTTTGTGTCCATGAACAATGGGTAACATATTGTCTTTGTTTTATTTGGTCAGTGTTTGTGTCCATGAACAATGGGTAACATATTGTCTATGTTTTATTTGGTCAGAGTTTGTGTCCATGAACAATTGGTAACATATTGTCTAAGTTTTATTTGGTCAGTGTTTGTGTCCATGAACAATGGGTAACATATTGTCTATGTTTTATCTGGTCAGAGTTTGTGTCCATGAACAATGGGTAACATATTGTCTATGATTTATTTGGTCAGAGTTTGTGTCCATGAACAATGGGTAACATATTGTCTCTGTTTTATTTGGTCAGTGTTTGTGTCCATGAACAATGGGTTACATATTGTCTATGTTTTATGTGCTCAGACTTTTTAGCCATGGGTAATGGGTTATGCATAGTTTGTGTTTTATATGGTCAGAGTTGTGTCCATGAACAATGGGTAACGTATTGTCTGTGGTTTATGTAGTGAGAGTTTTTGTCCTTGGGTAATGAGGTTACACATTGTCTGTGTTTTATGTGGTCAGAGTTTTGTGAGTGTGAGTAATGGTTTATACATTGTTTATGTTTTATGTGGTCAGAAATTTTGTCCATGAACAATGTGTTACATATTGTCTGTGTTTTATGTGGTCATAGTTTTGTCCAAAAACAACGGGTTACATATTGTCTACGTTTTATGTGGTCAGAGTTTGTGTCCATGGGTAATGTGTTACACATTGTCTGTGTTTAATGTGGTCAGAGTTTTGTCCAAGAACAATGGGTTACATTATGTGGTCAGATTTTTTGTCCATGGGTAATGGGTTACCCCTTGTCTGTGTTTTATGTGGTCAGAGTTTATGTCCATGAACAATGGGTTGTATATTGTCTGTGTTCCATTTGGTCAGAGTTTGTGTCCAAGAACAATGGGTTACACATTCTCTGTGTTTTATGTGGCCAGAGTTTGGGTCCATGAACATTGGGTAACATATTGTCTTTGTTTTATGTGGTCAGAGTTTTTGTCCATGAAGAATGGGTTACATATTGTCTGTGTTTTATGTGGTCAGAGTTTGTGTCCATGAACAATGGGTAACATACTGTCTGTGTTTTATGTGGTCAGAGTTTTTGTCCATGAACAATGGGTTACACATTGTTTGTGTTTTATGTGGTCATAGGTTTTGTCAATGGACGTTGGGTTACATATTGTCTGTGTTTTTGTTGTTAGAGTTTGTGTCCATGAACAATGGGTAACATATTGTCTACGTTTTATTTGGTAAGAGTTTGTGTCCAAGGGTAATTGGTTTCACAATGTCTTTGTTTTATGTGCTCAGACTTTTTATTGCCTTGGGTAATAGGTTACACATTGTCTGTGTTTTATGTGGTCAGACTTTTTAGCCATTGGTAATGGTTTACACATTGTCTGTGTTTTATGTGCTCAGAGTTTGTGTCCATGAACAATGGGTAACATACTGTTTGTATTTTATGTAGTCAGAGTTTGTGTCCATTTGTAATGGGTTATACATTGTCTGTGTTTTATGTGCTCATGGTTTTTGTCCAAGAACAAATGGTTATACATTGTATGTGTATTTTGTGGTTAGAGTTTGTGTCCATGGGTAATGGGTTACACATTATCTGTCTTTCTTGTGGTCAGAGTTTTATGTCCATGAACAATGTGTTACATATTGTCTGTGTTTTATGTGGTCAGAGTTTGTGTCCATGGGTAATGTGTTTTACAATGTCTATGTTTTATGTAATTAGAGTTTCTGTCCATGAACAATGGGTTACATATTTCTATGTTTTATGTGGTCAGAGAACAGTGGGTTGAATATTGTCTGTGTTTTATGTGGTCAGAGTTTTTGTCCATGAAGAATTGGTAATTTGTTACACATTGTCTGTGTGGGTAATGGGTAACATATTGTCTATGTTTTATGTGGTCCGAGTTTGTGTCCAAGCGTACGCGGGTATGTTAAGGCTACACTCAAGGTGTGTTCAGCATATTGATCGCTCGTGGACACTGTCACTCGCGAGAAAAACCTGTTTATATTCTCCCTCACTTTGTTCGTCCGAATATAAATTAATTCTATTCTAAGTAATAACAAGAAAGACCATTTTAGGAGTGCTACTCGCTATAACCTTTAATCAATTGTCAATCAAATTTATGATATTTATTTACACATATTCTTCAGTCAACTAAGCATGCATAAATCAGTATTTCGACAGACAATAAATCTTTTTCGTGAAATTCATTATTTGGCGTGAATATACGTGAATCGAGGTTATAGCGAGAGTCGATAAAGAATGCGTATGACCCAGTGTATTTATAGTTACCTAGTCACGTGATCTATGAGTATTTTTAGCAAGTAAACAACGAAATGAATTTTATTTATATTCTCCCTCACTTTGTTCGTCCGAATATAAATTAATTCTATTCTAAGTAATAACAAGAAAGACCATTTTAGGAGTGCTACTCGCTATAACCTCGAGACAAAGGGCAGATGTTTTATGAAATTTATGATTATTTATTTATTTTAATCATATACATTTACACTGAAATCATTAATAAGTTTGTTTTCTTATATTCCCAAATTTAGAGAAACAGAAGTTTGTGTTTTAACATTATCCTTGATATATCCGTCTTTCGCAAAATCTGTGCGCCATCTGCCGTGCTCTTTAATCAACCTGTCGGACACACAATTGTTAGATGCCGCAGTGGCGCCCCCACTTCTCAAACTGTGTAGACAAAATGCTTTACTGTCCACGCCAATCTGTGACAATGCTTCTCGAAAAATTTCCCTGGCTCTAGTATACGACAATGGACGATTTTGTGAAACTAACTTGTACTTTCCTAGTGATTTAAAGTATCTGACGGATCTAAAAACGTATTCATCAGAATCAACACTCAAACTTGCCAAGTCAATATAGTTTAAAAGCCATCTCACTGGACACGTTGATGAACCTGTCTTTGAAACAATTACGTTGTTGCCTCTTCTGTAGACGTCTGTCTTTCCACATTCAATATTCAAAATGATATATGTATCGTGAAATTTTAGATTTGACATTCTTTAATTAGCAAGCTCACTGTACCGCAGAAAACCCGCAAAACACAATAACACCATTGCACAAATCCTGACATTGAATAAATTTGAAAGATCTGCACCAAATTTTTTCACAATCTGCTGTAAATGCTCTACTGTTATAGGCTCTTTTTTCGTAGTTGGTTTTCCGAGTATTCTCTTTGCTCCTTCTGTCATCATATGAATTAATTTATCATCACACGGATTTTTCTTTAAATTGAATTCATGAAACCACTTGATGCTGTAAAGATGTGCACAAAATACAGAAAAAGACACACTTTGTTGAACAAAACCACTTAAATAAACTGCTACGGAAGGCACTGATGCTGGAAGATAAGAACACTTATTTTTAATACACCATTCTCTGAACTTTTTAAAATACACTTCATACTTCTTATTTGTAGATGTAGATTTACTACTTTTAACGATATTCAGAATATGCTGACTGCTGCCTTCGAACGTTTTATTCAGTTCTGCAAATTGATGAACATCAGTCCAAGAAGTACCTTTCTAAAATGAGAAAAGCAAATCTTTTAATTTAAATAAATGTCCTTAATTAAACTATATATCTCCACTTTTTCTACAAATGCCTTAAATTACATATGTGTCTAAATATACAAGTATCACCACAACACCGTAAAATTAATGAATTTTCTGCTCATGCTGCACTGCTCCCTGACAAATACGTATTCATTTTCTTGTATTTTTTACACATTATCAAACACATCATCTCTTATTCTCTTAAACATTCTGGAACCACTGGAACCATTCACTGGAACTGCTGGAACAAAACTCTGCTAACTACTTATCTGCTTCTTTCAACTACTTAGTATAATCCGAATAATCAATGCGTAATATTAGCACATTACTTATGAATGGTGACTGAGCAAAAACACTTTCTTTATCAGAACCGCTCACGAAAAACTTGCTTGGATGTTTAAATTCTATTACATCTTTCACAAATTCGTTAAATTTCTGTTCACAAAAATCCCAAACCATTGGCCAAAATAATGCCGATTTCCATTTTGGTGCAATCAAAATACCCTTTGCTCTACAAATGTACATATGATTTAATACTCTGGGAATCAAATGTACAGGAGGCACAATCCAGTTATTTTCATTTGACCAATCAAATGCAAAGGCATCTACTCCATACGTTCCTGGAACCCAAAATCTGGAATTAAACTTATCTAATTTTTTGTTTTTATTATTTGCAAATCTGTCGAATGTTATCGGTCCCCATTTCTTGTCATACAACTCAAAGATACAGTCTGAAACTGACCAGTCGTCAAAATCAAAAATTCTACTCAGATAGTCTGCTTGTATATTTAAAGCTCTCGGTATCCATTCCAGCTCAATTACAATGCAATTATTTATACATATTTGATAAATATTCATGGCAAGATTTTGCAACTCTTCGTTCATGCTACCTACTTGACATACATGTACCACATTCTGATTGTCAGTATAAATTTTCACCAACTTACCATTTAGTTGCTTTTTCAAACTATCCAGTATAAATTCTACTGATTTTAATTCCCTCCATGTGGAACTCTTACATCTTTCTAACTCTGTGAACATATCATGCACAATATCTAAAATATTTCCCTCTATAAAACCTGCGCTTGCATATGTACTTGCGTCAGAAAATATTATGCGTTCTGGTGTTTTCTGTACAGAATTCAAAACTAAATTTGGCAACGTCTTACAATTTTTATACCAAAATTCTAATTCTGACTTTACATCGTTAGAAATTTCAAAAAATGCATCCCAAGTTTTCCTATGACAAATCATCATACACATTTTTCTCGACATCAATTGACAGATATTCCCTAATGCTGGCATAAGTGATATGATCTTACCTAGAATTGATGCAAGATTTCGTGCTGTCGTACGCTTCAGAACTAAAACTGCATTTATCTTACTATTTTTTCTATCTTACTTGTTGGCACCTGGATAACACCAGATTCTAAATTCCATGTAAAACCTAACCAGTCCAATATCTGAGATGGAGAAAAAACAGATTTTTCATAATTTGGAAGAAAACCTGCTTGCAATAGCGTAGAATGTACAGATTCTGCCATATGTATGCATTTTTCTTTTGTATCACACGCTCACCCATCGTCTAGATACACAATAATCGGAAAACTCTGAGCTCTCCAATAATTCACTAATGTTCGTACAATTTTTGTGAAAATATGCCCGGCCGAAGATAAACCGAATGGTAAAACTGTAAAAACGAAATATCTGTGGGCACCGTCCATATACCATGAAAAACCAAGAAATTTTTGATGTTCTGAATGTATGTTAACATGATGATATTCTGAACGTAAATCAAATTTGAACATATAATAACCCTTCTTAGCATATTGCTTCGCTTCCTTAACGCCCTCAAATTTTATTCTCTGTTTTAAGACATATTCATTCACATGCCTTAGATCTAAAACTAGTCTTTGTTTCCTAGAATCACTTACCGATACTGTCAATGGGTTGACAACATATGGCTTTTCTGAAACCTCTGAAATACACTTGCTGTCAAGTAATTCTCTTATAGCTTTTTCTACAAACTCAGAGTTGTCAAAGGCTGATTTGTTATTCTTAAGACATACAGAAGTAGGATCTTGTATAAAAGGAATAACATAACCATACTTTACTGTACTTAAAACTAACTCTGATGGATTTAATGTATTTTCCCAAAATTTTGCATTATTTTTCAATCTGTTCTTTACTACTTTATCTTTATTCATGAATTCATAATTTTTGCCCAAATACTCAACTTGTTCTGTCTCCAAGTCGTTATTCTGCACTGGTACTGGTGGCTGTTGCTGGGGTGTTAGGTTTTCCTCTTGAGAGAATGGGTTTAAATGGACAGAATTTTGCGATGTGCCCTGGCCTCTTGCAATAGAAACACAACCCGTCGTTGTACTGTGTGGCGTTCTGCGCTGTGTTTTGAGTGTACATGTCGGTTCTCTGTCCAAAGTTCTGGCTGAAGCCACGAAAAAAGGCTCTGGGATTGAATCCTCCTCTAGAAGCTCCTCTGCTGTAAGGCTTGTTGAAATGAGTCCTCTTTCTGGATGCCCTTATGACCGCTGAACGCAATTTTGTAGCATCCTCACCGTTGTCAGCTAAGGGGTCGTCCAAATACTCCTGGACCGTATCCCAGCCATGGCGGTCTGCTATTTTGAGTATCTTATTGCGCTGATTAATAGTAGCAATCTCAGATTTAATAACAGATTCAATATCTTCTTTATTCTCAGACTTCAACAAAAGTTCAATTTTTTGTAAAGCAGCAATGCGGTCAGAATTAAAGTTAAATTGAATTTTAGTTCCTTCTTGTTTAAATTCAAATTTTGAAGGTTGGCAAGCTTGTGTATCAACGTTTGAACCATTTTTTGGAATTGTACTCACATTAGTACTTGCTGAAGATTCCGTGCCTTTTCGTAATTCTCCCAGTATTTCAGCTTTTTGGCGTTCAAGAGCTTTATTTAATGACGAGTTAAATAGTGAAACAGCATCTGCTGTAGACATATCTGTTTCGTTCATATTTTCCTGTAACATTTCTTCTTCAAGGCGGTCCGTTTCCATGCTCGTGATTCTCGATTTAACGTGAATCGAGGTTATAGCGAGAGTCGATAAAGAATGCGTATGACCCAGTGTATTTATAGTTACCTAGTCACGTGATCTATGAGTATTTTTAGCAAGTAAACAACGAAATGAATTTTATCTACTGAACGGACGCGAGCGCTCGTTTTTATTTAATATGGCGGACGTTTACACTGAAATTCTGTAATGATTTTTAAAAGATTAATCGCTGTACGGCTATTACCGGAATGCATGATCGAAGGATATTTCAATTTTAGATGCTTTGTTTACCATTACAACGAACCGAAAGTTGATTAACACCGAAGTTGACTCGAATACAAGGGGAAAATCAAAGTACTGAAAGTACTTCTAGGAGTTGAACATTGTAATGTGAAAGATTTAACAGGAAGTAAAGGAGCTATAATGTCGGAACATTTTTTCATGCTTTAGATACAAGTCAACTATTGCAGATTTGATAGAGATACAACATCAAACATAAGAAATAATTTCAAAAACATTTGAATAACGAAGATCATGGGCCACAATACTCACCTGAGTAACATTATTGACTTTAACCGTATTGTTCTTATTCAGATTTTCAAAAACTTTTACCACTTAATTGTGATTAAATTCTTTTAACTTTTCAATCGGCGATCTTAAAAAGTTATTACAAATTGATCTTACAGGACAAATATTTTTTTTCATAAACACAAACAGAGTTCAGCGTATCTAAATGCAATTTGCTTAATAGGTTAAATTGACTATCGAGGATATAATTACCCATGCCAACACGTTTAAAAGATGTGATAGAATTGCAACAAGTGACGAAATGACCGCCTATTACAGTGTCAATAAGGCTGTTGGGGGAGGATTTTAGTGGCCGCTGGCCGCGTTACACAGGTGGCCGTTTATTCCAGTTAAAAGTTTTATATAGGAAAAATCACCGGGGGGAACTGAAAGTGGCCGCTGATCGCGAGTGGCCGTTGATTTCGGGTGGCCGCTAAGACAAGTTTTGACTGTATTCCCATGCAGGGACGAAGCATCGTTTTTGAAAGGGGGGCCTCGAAAATTCTAACTCGAAAATTCTATTTTTTGGGTTTTGGGATAGGTTTCAAACTTCTTTCAGTATCAAATTTTACTCATACACTACTACATCACCCCTATTTGAATATTCTGCAACAAACAGTAGGGGGACGGACTGTCAATGAACATTTCCTCCCCCCTACCCTATGCTACGTGCCTGTCATGAAAAAAATGTGTCAGCATAAATTAATATGGCGATATCAAGCTCTGAGGGGTCTCTAAATCTACACAATATTAATAACATTGTTTTGCAGTTATGAAGATTTTTTCCTGTACACATACATTAACTTAAATCCCAATTTATTTAATTCATTAAATATACCAAATTAATTTTTAGCCAATTCTAACATAGAATCCATATAATATAAGAGTGCAGAAAATTAACTGGAGAAATAAGAAATATGCAGCTTACGTCATTTGAATTTCCATCTGTTACAATCAGAATGTTTAATGAGAGACAATGAAATGGTCGGGTACAATTCAACACGGACGTCCGAGAAAACACTGGAATGAAATTCTAGTTTGAAATTCATTTTCAATCCACCTGAGCTGTTTTCAAACCTAAAGTGTGAATGTATGATCCGAAAGACAAATAATTTCAATTCCCAAATACATGTACATGTTGTTTGACATTCATATTTATATGAGTACTTTAGCATAAAATTTTAAGGATACGTAAAAGTAAAAGAAGACAGAGATTACTTTTTCAGGGGACGACCATTTCATTCTAGAAGGGGAAGGGGGGGGGGCTCAAAAATTGTCGAGTCAGATCATGTCTCCACATGATAGAATATATTTATTTCTAGGATGACAAAGCTTCTTTTGTCTTTACTGAAAACTGTTTGACAAACAAAAGCAGGGAGGGGATGTCAATTTAAAAGAAAATTTTCATATTTATTCCAAGATCGTTCAGCCCCCTCCCTCCCAGCACACACATTCACATACCAAACAGAAATCAAATATTTGTCCCTTTATATTTCTTTAAATACACTGGACAGAAAATTCTGATTTATATAAGTTTCAAACTATTCCAAAATTGAAATTATTTGTCTTCTTGGTCAATCAGTAACATTGTACGTTCTTGCGTAGCTGAGGTGGATTGAAAATGAATTTTAAAATAGAATTTCAATCCGGTGTTTTCTCGGACGTCCGTGTCAAATTGTACCCACCCATTTCATTGTTTATCGTTTAACATTTTGACAGTAACAGATGGAGATGACATAAGTGGCATATTTCCAATGTTGCCAGTTAATGTTCCGCGGTCTTAATTTGTTAAGCAAACTGAATCAACACAACTTTGAATGGTTTGCATTCTAATGATTCTATTGCAGCAAAGTTTTCTCAAAACAAACGTAACTTTTTAAAGTCATTTGGAAGTAGTATATGAATCAGTAAAATATTAATGGACATGCTGATACAGCTCATCCCAATTTCTGAAAATAAAATCTTTATCTTCTGGGCACCTTTCTTTACTTTTTCGGACATTGATAATCTATTTAAAATACCTATGAAAGCATTTGAAGCACTCTCTTCTAATATATACAAGATCCTTGGTGCCAACAACCAACTGGCACTTTATTTTCAATGTTACCATCACCATACACTAAATCGTCATTTTTTTCTTCCTCTGATTGGAACAAGAAGTTGATATTATCTTTTGGGTATACAATGTAACTGGTTCTTTTCGGACACAATAATTAATTTTTATAGAATTTTTGTATTTAATTTTTCTATCAAAATGTTTTTATCTTTACATGTGTATAACTCAATCATCATGTATTTTTTTAAATCCCATAATTTTTAATTTCAGGTATACTATATACATGTAGCTGAGCTGGACAAGTTTTTCAAACTTTCAATGAATTAAAACGATCGACTTGAATCTGTTTTGATTTTGTTTATTAAAAATCAGACGTAGTTTAACGAGCTATTGCAAGAAATAAAACTGTTGTAATTATGAGGATCGATCTTTCTCGCATATCGATCACTGGTCTTAATAATAATAAGCCATTGTATCCGCACACGCATGCATTCATTCATTTTAATTGTTTTTATTAATAAAATCAAATGAAACATTTTTTCAATGATAATGTACTACTGCAATACACTTTTATATGCAGACATGTTGAAATGAATTAATTAATATAACATACATTTTTCAAGTCCAGTACTAGTGTTGTACACGTGACCCACTGAATGCTGATAAATTCATGAAATAAGGATTAAAAATTAATGTCATCTGAAATTGTCACACATTTACTTCTTTCTTTATAAGTAATTCTTATCTGCAGAGTTATCAAAAACACTCAGTCTTGTCGGCAAGGTAGGGAATTTTCTGGACCGAAAACGTACAAGGAAACAGTGGTCCAAACGACCGTTTAAAACATTGAACGTGATGCAAATTTCTAAAACGCTGTGCCTAGGTAAGGACCACAAAACACCGAAATCGTCCGTATGGTGACGATTGTCGATCAAAATTGTTAAAGCATGTCTCTGATTAGAGACTCTGTATCATAAGATAGAATTTTTTGTGAGATCAAATATCATAAAACTTAAAAGGCATCTTATTTTAGTGCTATTATTTTTTCCCTTTATCAGCGATTCAGCGTACAAAATAAGATGCATGTATCTGGTCTGACAAAACTTTGTCCAGTCTAACAGATCATTTGACTTTGTCAGACCAAATGTCTGACAGTGATTCAAAAATTTTGAGAACTCTGCTCCGAAAATCACTGCACAGTAAATTCATTTACAGTTGTATAGACTTTACATTTGTATCTGTCCTAATATACTTAGAAGCATAGGTGAAATATTTGCAAGATTTTGCCATGGTTTATTTCCTTCATCACATGACTCTTAATTGTTTGGAAGTTTGAAAAATAACAATAAAAAAAGTTTCAGTTTGTTATATGATCTAACGTAAACTGTTATAATTTGTTGTTTTTCCCACTTAAAATTTACATACGTACATATAGTTCGAATGTCAGACCTGGCTGTTCCGACTTATTTTATCAAGAATTTCATATGTGAAATGCTTATAAATTTTATGCCACATGAAAACAACTTGGAAACTCAAAAAGCTTAATCTAGTAATTTATCTTAAAGTTTCATTTTCTGTGTATGTTAATAACTTTCTCTTCGATTTTCTTCATGTTCGATGTTAAACGTGTTAGGATTCAATATTAAACGAACAATAATTGTTCATTTATAGCAAAATCAATGTAATTTGTTTATTCTTTTGATGTTTATTGTATTACCAAATAAATATTGTTGAAAACTTCGAATATTTATGGTTAAAAAAAGGTATCACTTTGATTCTGAAATATTTTTTCCACGCGTCAGTCAATGCAAAGAGGTTTCGCGCAGTCATATACTACATGTGCAGAGTTGTTTCCCTCTCATTCTTTATAGGTGCCGCTGTTTGTGCTGCAAAGGAGGTTTGTGACGACAATTTTCAACATTTTTTATAGTTCTGTATAAATCAATTTTAATTTAATCAAAATATAGTATTCAAATTAAGTTAAATGAAATTCAATTGCATTTAGTTTCGTATCATTTATCAAAATTAGATAAATTCAGAAAAAATGAAATGGACTATTTTATGGCGGACGTTTATGCAAGTTTACATTGAATATCACAGGAGTAAATTGGTCGACACAGAAGCCCCACGGAAGGCCACTATATAATCAATACAAATTACTGCGCTTAGAAAGCCCGTGATGACCAAGGGAGATTGAACATAGTTCAACCCCCAAAAAGGACTTCGACAATCAGGTCCTTTTTTGTCTCTGTAAGTTAAAGAAATACAGAGTAACAAATAAGTGGTTTTGTTGTCGAATGTCATTATCGTTTGCTTATGCTATACATAACCATGATAACCAAGCACGGCTAAGTACTTTGCATCCATATTTCGACTATACTTCTTTCCCCCCTCTCTCTCTTCTCAGTTGCTAGAAAGTAATAATGTCCCCTTGAAAATCGCCATCAGAAAAAGACTAAGGTTTTGAAAAATTTAGAGTAATGGAAAACTTTACAATAGAGAAAACTGCATAAATATGCTAAATATTACTCCAAGTTAAAAAGTTAATCTACTTGATTTAATGATCATCACTGCAATGAGATATAAGGCCTAATGATACCAAAAAAATTTTACTTCAATATTTCTCCCTTTCTCTTTTATGAGAATGCATGTAGATATTTATTAACAAAGTATACCAGATTTTTTATTTTCTCTGACAGGATTTAGTACATTCATTGTTGGTAAACTTTTTCTGATAACAATGAGATTTGATGCTGAGGGAAACAAGAGAACATAATTTAACAAACGTAGTAAATGTTTCACATGAAAAATTATGTTCTAAACATGCCAAGACTGTGGGGTTTTTTTTTCATTAGAACTAGCTTGTCTCTATTTAAACTCAAGATAATGAAAATTTAATCCTGATTGCAATTGGTTCAATTTAGCACGGTTCACATTTGAAAAATACAAAATAGTGTATATACCATAGTACTCTCAGAAGGTATAGTACAACAGTCGAGGTCTTTTTACATGGATTAAATATAGGAATTTCAGGAACTTTTGAACACAAGTAATGATTTCTTTTCATACATAGGGGGATTGCAACTCATTAAAATTGGTTCTCTTATGTTATTTTTTCAATTGATGTGTTCCAAAAAGACAGAGAATTAAAAAAATTCAGTAGAAAATGTGAGAAAACAAAAAATAAGCCATAGTCATTAATGTATAAGTTGCCTCGGTTAGTAACGGGAACAAAAGAATTTAAAAAAAAACTAATGTACCAACATAGAATTTAACATGTGTATATCATCTAACAAATCATGAGTTGAGACTTCATGCGGTGACATGTAGCATGACAAGATGAAGAGAAAACTTTCATTTTTTTTATTATTGGATTATCAGGGATATCATTTTGGATGAAGTATAAATGAACTGCCTATGAACTCCCAGAACAGTCAGTTGAACCCTGTCTTGAATGTCTTGACTTTTGATTTGGAGCAAAGAGCAAAATAGAATTTTTTTTGTATGTATGTTCATAATGCATGTACCATTTCTCAGCTGCTTCAAATATACATGTCAATTAAATATACAGGCATATATAATGATGTTCATCATCTCGGACAAATGAGAATAATCTGTGTCTCAGGACAGGCTCTCACCGGATCCATACGACATTATCATTTTAACTTTATCCACCTTAATTAATGCAAGAATCCGCTCGACTCAAAACACATTTATCCCCACTTCTATATCGTGAACATTTAATATTAACATATCAGGGGCGTAGCTTCCATTGTGGCAATGAGGCAACTGCCTCACTAGATTTTTCTCAGCTTCCACCTGCTCCCATAAATAATAATATATTGCAAAAATCTTTTTGTAAAATTTATAAGCAAATCTATTATGTACGTTCATATAATCAAGGTTCAGGCTCTACTCCCATTACTGAAAGACTCTGAAGTAGGTAATAATATGGAAATATCAAAAATTGATGCATGTTTGACAGTTATAGTTTTCACGAAAAAAATGTATTCATCCTAAAATGTGTTACAAGTTTAAATAAACATATTTATTCGCTTTTTTAACATCGTCAGAAACCCGCGGTCGGTCTCGCTTCTTCTTACCTTGAGGTATGGAAAGCGAAACCGACAGCCCTCTCAAAAAGTGTTTTATGATCCAAAATAATGCTTACTCCTAACAAAATCGATTCTGTCATCTTCAGTTGATGATAATCGTGTACTCAAGGGGAGGGGTTGCACGCAAATAAATAACAAATTATTTATTTCCAAGATAATTTAGGAAAAATTCTTTATGCTTCAATAAAGTTAAAGAATAAAAAATAAATAGTATAATAAAAAAAAACACCTCGCTGTACATGTACTCCACAACTCTATTGAAAAAAGGGGAGGGGGGGGGGTTACTAACAGGTAATGAAAAAAAAATCATATATATCATGTACATACATTTCGTAAAAGGCAGTCTGATTAAAACCAGCCCCCTTCTCCTTTCACTCGTCAGGGAGGAGAAGGGGGCTAGTTTTAATCAGACTGATTAAAAAGGAAAATTACTATAGTATTGCCTTATTTCACAACTCTCTTTTGTGGGGTTGTGTATGGGTAGTTTGGTGGTAAAAGGGGTATATACACAAAATTACGAAAGTTAATACTTGTGTAATATATGCATACATGTTTGTTTTGTGAATTTGAAATGCTAGTGAATTTACAAAGATACGGATACAAACTGTGTATTTATTTACTTATTTATTTATTTAATACCATCTTATATAATACCGTGACATTTAATTTACTACTGCAGAATAAAAATTTTAACTCAAGTCCTTTAATACCCTTCCTAAAAAAAATAAATAAATTGGCAATTCCTTGAGATTAGTCAAAATATTCCATGAACCTATGTTAAATTCCAATGTTAATGTCTTAAAGAAAAATTACGTACGTTTATTTAAAAATAAAATTGAGACTACTGCCCCTTTCCCAACTGTTCTCCAAGTGTTTTTTTTCTTTGCATTGAATACAAACATTCTGTCATTACTATACCAGTATATGTCAATCCTGTATCCTCTCTATACGCAGTTGTAAAATATCTATTTACATGAAGTATAAAATAATTATATTTTAAATGAACCTCTGACGATTAAAAGATATAATGATGTAAGATATAGATAAGACTTAGATATAATTATGTTCCTCATAATAAAATTGTTAAATTAATTTGCACACTTTAATTGGCTTAAAATTTCCAAGGCCGCACTTTGAATTTAATCATGAACAAAAAACTTGAGTACTCAGTAGCCTTAAACCTCACCCGAGTCAACTGAGCCCTGCAGATCTTCAATTAAATGATTATAAAATTTTCTTATGTGTATTAGAAATAACATTTTTATTTTATGACTCTATCTAACAGGAGGGGCTAAACTACGACGGCGTATTCGTGCCATTTTAACAATGCTTTTTTAAAATCGTTTGTACCATTTAATAAATCGAAATAACATTTTTATTTTATGACTCTACCTAACAGGAGGGGCTAAACCAAACGTGAATGTGATTATATAAATTATATAGTGGATACGCTGAAATATATACATGACTGACTGAACTAGGTTTACATTCATGCAGGTTCCAAAAATTAAATTCCCAATTAAGAAAGGTCTCAGACTTTCACAATATATTTTAATTTTTTGGTGAATTTATCAAATTTTAAACAACAGAGCTAGATATTTGTAGTAGCAGAATATCATTTTATCTTGATAAACATACCAATATAAACTCAGAATAAGTATATTTCGATTTCATAATATTTTTATTATGATTACATACATACATATGCTAAATAAAAAGATACATAAAATCAAACTTTAAAAATTGTTTTATTCTTCAAATAAAGAAGATAATTATTTTTGTGGTAATCTTTACCTTTATTCAAATTCTAGTACAGTGTAGTATGCAGATGTATTTATATTATCCAGCATTTGTGCATTGGTTTACAAAAGCATGTGCCTGTAATATCTGTTCATCAATAAAATTTTCATGTAGACAACAAATTAACTTCCAATAAACAAAGTTTTGTGAATGATCTATGTACATGCATTTCATAACTCATGAAATATAAATAAATGACTGACCAGACATTGTGTCAAATATTTCATCAATATATTGACATTCTTATTACCTGGTAACTTTTATAGGTAAAATTAGAATATGTTCCTAGATATTGGTTGACATGGAAAAATTATTCAGAATATTGAGAATATAAAATCCTGTAATTTGTTCTAAAATACATTAATCTTACAATATACAGGTAACTTTCAATTGACCTGGCTTCATCAGTTACATGTAGCAAACACTTAAAAAAAATCTTTTTTTTTTTAAATTAAAGAACTTTTATGCATGCACTAAAAGTGCTAAAGGCTAGACTGGTACCCTCACATTGGTTAACCAGCACCAGATCCCTGAAAAACCAATTTTTATCATCAGTGACCAGAATCAAGGGCAGAGAACCAGTGCTAAAAAGCCCATTTGGTCATAACTCTCCCTGATTCATATTATTCTGAAAAAGGTTTTTAAAAAATTTACTCCTAATATTGCAATAAATTAACTTTGACCCAGTTTGGTGACCCTACTCTGCCCAAAGGGATTATTACCCTCAACCTTCTCCAAGGATCCATTATTGACAAAACAAAAGGCCCAAAAGGCCTTAACAGTCATCAGAGTTATTTATTATTGTACTAAGGTGAATAATTACAGGGGACTACATAATGTATATGTTCATTCAAAGGAGAACTTAAATCCCTTTTATTCAATAATGCTTTTTGCAAAGTTTGGTTGAAAATTGAGGGTTTTGGAGAAAAATTCAAATAAGTAAATATAGTTTACATTGACAACTGAACAATGGATGAATTTCAATTAATTAAACTCATGTCACACTTTGGTTCAGGCGAGCAAAAACAAATAAATTCCAACAAATACTTCAAACATGCTTTTAAAATTAAAACATAGCTAATTAAGTTCTCTCAGGACAACAAAATTCAGGATAGGGAAATTTGATATAGATTTGAAAAAAAAAGAGTTTGAGAAAGGAACTCCTAGTCATCTTTTCAAAGCACATGATCCTGAGGTGGAGATAAAATCCCAAAGCACTGCCAGCTTAACCAAATGACAATACAGCACAGGCCTAAATCAAACGCTGATCTACCATAGCCAACCTGCAACTGAACTGAACACACAACTGAGAGGTTGGTTTCCAAGTGTCTGGCTCTCCTTGCACACATGAAAAGAAAAAGAAAAGATATTAAAACATATGAATCAGCCTAATTGTTAAAAAAATTAATGAAATGATGGATAATAATTAAAACTATTAAAAACTAGTGGAAATACTAATCACAAATCATGCATTTTGATATATTATAAACTGTACAGGTGCATCTTTTGCTCTCCTAATCAATAAGATATTCAATAAATTAAGAAGTCTGCTACATGAAGCCTTTTTTCTAACTTTATGACCTTATTTAATTAATTCAAAGGTAAAAAAGAGATGTTTGTTAAACATTTATATCCCCCTCCCCCCAAAATTGGAATTTTTAAAAGTCCAAAAGGGCATAAAGTGTGTCAGAAATGGCATGATCGTACCCAAAACATAACTTGACTTAGATAGTCATCTGATAAATCTGTATACTACAGTTCACTTCAGTATGTGCAACCTCGGCAAAGAAATGAACGATAGCTGCAAATAATTGGAATTTTTCTAAGTCCAAGGTGCATAACTCTGTCAAAAATGGTGCGACTGTGCAATGGTAGTGAAGAAAATGAATGGAAACTAGGTGGACTGACAGACAGACAGAACGACCGATAGACAGCAGCAAAGCAATATGCCCTGTCTTCTTCGAAGGGGGGCATAATTAATAATTTCACAAAGTACTTCATGTATTCAAATTAAGTCTTGGTGAAAATTATCATTTTCATCAATATAAGTGACTCCTTTAACAACTGTAGTGAATATGAAGACTAAAGTTTTACCTGAACCTAAATTACCCTGGTAGTTTGTCTTCACTTTGACTCTCCTCCCAAATCTTGGATGGTAGCATGTACTGTCACCTATGGATGGAATCCTAGCTGACCATTTAATTAATTAGTAGGCATTTACCCTGCAACAAGACACATTCTGATCATGAGTTTTATCTTTGACCTAAATATGAACATGAATCTTTTTTATATGTCATAGATACTAGATAGTTGTTTAAATTTCTATTAAAGTTAGTTTAAGAGGACTTTAAGAGATATATCATCTATAAATTTAGGAATTATGTCTTTATCATATACATCAGTATATAAACACATATTTACGAATGTATTCCCAACATAACACGTACTATTAAAAAAGCTCTAATATAAGGTGACCTCTGGTCCCCCTATTGATGTTCAATATAAGGTGACCTCGATCTAGTCTCCCCCTACCCCTACTGAGGTACAATATAAGGTGACCTCTGGTCCCCTTACTTATGTACAATATGATATAAGACACCCTCTGTTCTTCCTATTTATGTAAATATAAGGTGACCTTTGGTCCTCCTTATGATGTTTAATATAAGGCGACCGCTGCCCCCTAATGATATACACCATAAAGTGACATCAGGTCAAATAAACTTTTTGCTACCTCTGGTGTCCTATAAAGATTATGGAAGCGAGAATTAGTTTTATATTGGACTTCAATAAGTGTATCTAATTCTTACAATGTAGTGTATATATATATATGTTTATTCACCAATCAAGGGCCCTCCGGGGGCATGAACAGATTATTACAATATGATTACACTGATCACAATTCTATATTATAGGTGTATAATGTAATATGACTAGTGATTAAGTTTGACATTGAGAAGTGCATCACCACAAGATGTATCATCATGAAAATGTAGGATTTGTTACATATTCACAGTACAGTCTCACACTGGATCAAAAGTATAGAAAACCATAGGATGATAAAAAAAAACATGAATGAGACAAAGGTTATCATTTGTTGTACATTATCACAGGCACCTGAAGTGTGGATAATTAGCCCCAACCCTTTTTTAATTAAAAAAAATTGTAAGAGTGTAAAATATCTCAAAAAAAATAAAATTTCCCTGTCAAAGTCAAACACATCTATATATGTTGTTTTATGCAAACAGATTGTAGTTTTTCTCACATTTTAAAAATGGCCTTATAGGGTATAATAAAAATACACAAGGTAAGAAACAAAATTTGTAAACAAGCGGGGGGTTCCCAGCTTTGAGACAGATTTCTAAGGTAATAACAGTGTATTTTTATAATACTAAATAAGGAATAAAAAAAAAGAGGGGGATTATCCATACTTCAGGTGCCTGTGACATTATTAGGATGCCACAGAACATTTTTAGGAGGAATAATTCTAAATTGTGGTATGTGCAGTAATTTTACACATGATATAATTTATAACCAAATAATTATTCCATTGTTAAAGAATCAGTGAAAAGTCTGAGCGAAATAAAGGGGTTGGAGAGGGGGTGCACTTGATCTTTCTTCTCCTCCTGCTTGTTAGAGATCTTATAATGAATGCAGAAACTGGAAGTTGCTTACTCTGATTTATTAGTAAGGAGATCAGAGGTTAGGCACTGTGTTTAACAAATACTATATAACCTGACATGATATTATAAGGGAGACCACAGATTACCTAAATTAATCTATACCTATTAAACTTATATACCCAGGTATATCATATATCTTGCTCCCCCACCTTACTTTTTAAATTATGTATTTAGATATTTTACCAACTTACGTCAGTGTAAAAGTACTTTAGAAGTCATGATCATTTCTCTCCATTGTAATTGTTTACAGAGTAGCAAAACTCCAGCTCAGTATAAGGACCTGGAGAATAAAAATCATAATATTCATTCAATGACTTAGTCTTGAACCAATAAATGATTCACAGGGAACTGCATCTAAGACAACATAGAATGAGTTCAGTTTTAATTACTGGCAAGTGAATACAAAAATTTAATAAATGTGAAATTTATATTGTACTTGCTTACACATCTTTACATGAACTTACCTATATTCAACCCAGTGAAGGGGTCCATATCTATGGTAACATATATGATGTCTGTTAATTGTTTTTCTAAAAAAAAAAATCAATAAATTTCATAATGAAAGAAATAAAATTGAGTCCTCAGATTGATAAATAATCTATTTTTTTACAGGGTGAGGGCTAAAATAGGCTTTGCCTTCTTTTCTAATGCCATGCATTCATTTGTAAATAAAATTTTGCATAAATAGAAAGGAGAAAATGTATGACTGGACTGGGATTGAACCATGGATCCCTGCATCACTAGTCAGGTGCTCTACCGACAGAGCTTCCAAGGCCTATCTATATATATGTACACAGTCCACTCCAGCCATATACTTTCAATTACCTCTTTAATTTCCTGTTACAAATAAAATCATGTTACATTAATTAGTTCAAAAATTGGCCTCAACATTGAAATATAAATAAAAATATAAGAGATGAAAACAAATGAAATATTTCTGTTACTCATTGTATTACTGAAAACTATTATAAAATTAATGTTAAAAATCCCTTGACACAAATTTTTATTTAATCTTTTCTTCTGTCACTTGAACATCACCCTACTTTTTATTTTACAAGCCATTAATTTAAGATGAAGTGGGGTAGGTGTTACCTTAATTTTTTTAGACTTAATGATATAGTTTTATTTATACTTGTAATGTATACACTGTACATTACATGTAACACTTATCTGCATGTATCCAGGCAGGCATAGGGTATGATAGGAATCATAGTGTGATAGGCTTCGGAAGCAAATTGAAAGTGTGTGTGTGTGTGGGGGGGGGGGGGGATTTTAAAAGAGGGACCAAACCGAAAAAGGTATAAGCCTAATTTTCCATGTAAGTTATTGTATCTTTGTGATTACCCCCAACCCCCACCCCACCCCCACCGTTCCGACGTTTATGACGTGTTACCATCCCCGCCGCCCCCCCCCCCCAATTTGGATCTCAAGAACTAACTAAGTTTTTTTTACTTACAGTCAGTTAAGAAGCGTTTTCTTCGTATTCAAACATTCATATGGAAGCCGCCATGCTGACTCAATCGGGTTTGATGTTTAGAATTCTGCGCATGCGCATTTCGATTTCCGGAATGAATCGAAGTGAATCTCACCCGTCCCGGAGACTCGTTCTTTTACGTTACGCATTTTAGTTCGGGTTCGAGATTTGATGACGTCGGTTGCTAAGTAAAAGTAAACAACACAGCGTATTTCTTTACGTCAAGCAGGCATTTTTGGATTATTTGTGTACATTTTAACGATTTGGAATGATTTTTAAATTTTCTTTTGATTTTAAAAATGTCATATAACATAAGCCACATGGCTTCTCGGGCGACTATACCAGAATATTTGCCCCTCGGTAACAGGAAAGCCCTGGAGTGTTATGTTACCCTCTGCCTTCGGCATCGGGTGACATAACACTCCAGGCCTAGGGCTTTCCTGTCACCTCGAGGCAAATATTCTGGTATGTCACCCTCGAAGACATAATAAGTCGTACGTACGAGATACTAAGTCGTACGTACGAGATACTAAGTCGTACGTACGACATATTAAGTCGTACGTATGACATGATAAGCCGTACGTACGACATATTAAGTCGTACGTACGACATAATAAGTCGTACGAACGAGATAACATTAACCCCTGGTAGTCATGGGTACAAGATAACATGTTACACATACGATATTATATGTAGTTATCTGGATTTCTTTATAAAATCATGAAAAGACGGGCATGCCAATAGTTGTGTTTTTGATTGCTAAAACGAAAAACCTTAAAATCATATACATATGCAGTTTTAATCTATTTAACAGTAAAAAAAAAAGGTCAGTTTTACATGTTGACTTAGAAGTCCCATCCAAAGCAGCCCCCGTCCACCTCTCAAAGAATCTGATATTTTGAGAGGTTTTTATCGAAGGAATATTTATGAATAAAGCTTTTCAGGGGGTACCGGTGTAACGTTGAATATTGACCCGAGTTAAAAATTGGCCCGGGGGTCATTTTTCAACATTGAATATTGAACCGGGGTCATTTTTCAACGTTGAATATTGAGACTTATTTAAGAAATAAGGTATCATTTTTAAACATCTATCGGGATATAAATACGGGTCGGTCACGAGATTAAATTCCATAAAGCCCGAAGGGCTTTATGATGAATTTAATCTCGTACCGACCCGTATTTATAGCCCGATAGATGTTTTAAAATGATACCTTATTACTTATATTTACATTTGTGACTTATTCATACTTTATGTTTGCCTGATTGTGACTTTTAACGTGTGAAATGCATTATTTTTCAAACCCAACGGCATGTATGTAATCCACTGAACGCGCGTCGACCCTTTATGACGTCACTGAGAAATTACGTCGAACGTTTATCCATACGCACATCTATGACCTCTAGACCCCATACCTGTATTTATACAGTTATAGATACGCATTGCTTTCAGTAGTGTTATATAAAGATTAAGAAATAAGGTATCATTTTTAAACATCTATCGGGATATAAATACGGGTTGGTCACGAGATTAAATTCCATAAAGCCCGAAGGGCTTTATGATGAATTTAATCTCGTACCGACCCGTATTTATAGCCCGATAGATGTTTAAAAATGATACCTTATTACTTATATTTACATTTGTGACTTATTCATACTTTATATTTGTCTGATTATGACTTTTAACGTGTGAAATGCATTATTTTTCAAACCCAACGGCAAGTATTGTAATCCACTGATCGCGCGTCGACCCTTTATGACGTCACTGAGAAATTACGTCAAACGATTATCCAAACGCACATCTATGACCTCTTGACCCCATACCTGTATTTATACAGTTATAGATACGCATTCCTTTCAGTAGTGTTATATAAAGGAAAACATTTGCAAATGTAAATATAAGTCGTTGAATTTATACCCGGGGTCATTTTTCAACAGCTTGCATTGATAATTTTTTTTTCTTACACCTGATGACGTCAACAAGTTGAAAATTGACCCTGTTGAACATTGACCCCACCTCAAAGTTTGAACATTTTTTTTAGCTGGGAAGTTGTTTTACGGGATTTATCAGTATCACTTTATTTATATTTCGGTTTCAATTTTTTCCCTTTTCAAGAATAATAGAAATAAACATACAATATCACCCCGTGTATATATGTACATTTTGATCAGTGTGCACGGTTTCAGTTATCTTTGCAGGGGCGTAGCAACAGGGGGGGGGGCTTTTTCTATAACAAATGTTAATTGAAAACCTGGTTGCCCCCCCCCCCCCCCCCAGTTTTAGTGATGTGTCGAAAATGAAGTATTAGAATTGGTACTGAAAGTAGTTGACACTGAAAAAAGTTAGCCTCTACCCCCCCCCCCCCCCCCCCCCCCCCCCCCCCCCCCCCAAGAGATAGGATTTTCGACTTTGGGCAACTTTCACCCCCCCCCTTTTTTTTTGCTTGTCAACTTTTTCAGGTAAGTAAAAAAAAATTTTCTCCGGCTGGCCCCCCCCACATTTCAAAAACGATGCTGCGCCACTGCTTCAAGCATGACAACGTTATTTAAGGAATGAAGCTAATTTCAACTTATGTTATACGATATAACATAACTTGGGGCAGTTTACGCTTTATAAACCGCGAAGCGGTTTATAAAAAAGCGTAAACTGCCCCAAGTTTTGCTATATCGTATAACATAAGTTGAAATTAGCTTCATTCCTTATAATTTCATTTCAGTATAGACAATAAGACAATTTTTCCTCCAGAATAAGGCTTCAAATTGGGCATTTTTTTAAAAGTAACGTCAAGCGGAGTAATACGTTTTTGACGTAACTCATTGTGACGTAGGCAAGTTATGTTATCCAAAATATTATATGTTCCTCTGAATGATTCAGCCAATGAAATAGCTTGATACAAGTGAAATTAAATTATTTTTGAAGATACTTTACAAAATCCATGGCAGCCATAAATAACTACAAAACAACGAATAGGTACGACGGCGTATTCGTGCCATTTAAACAATGTAGAAATTTTTATTTAAATCGTTTAAACGATTTAAGAAAACGTTTGTACAATTTAATAAATCGTTTGTACAATTTGTTTGTTAAATCGTTTGTACAATTTATTAAATCCTTCATACGATTTATCAAAATAGTTTGTACGTTTTTTGTAAATCGTTTGAACAATTTAGGAAACCGTTTTTAAGAAAACGTTTGTACGATTTTAAAAAATAGTTTGTACGATTTAATAAATTGTACAAACGATTTAACGAACAAATTGTACAAACGATTTATTTAATTTGTACAAACAATTTACTAAATTGTATAAACAATCTTTAAATCGTACAAACGACTTATTAAATCGTACAAACGACTTATTAAATTGTACAAACGATTTATTAAATTGTACAAACGATTTATTACATTGTACAAACGATTTATTAAATTGTACAAACAATTTGTTAAATCGTACAAACGTTTTTTTTTAAATCGTTCAAACGATTTTTTTAAAAAAAATTCTACGTTGTTAAAATGGCACGAATACGCCGTCGTACGTTTCCTATTCGATGTCATTAATATTTAAAACAATCGGTTGCTAGTCGCTAATTTTGTCATTCCTATTCGATAATTTTATCTTTTTTAATCGATGATTATTTGGTTTATATGCAATAAAGTTGTTGTTCGAAAACATACTACCATCATTTCTATTCGAAAAAAATACGATTCCTGTTCGATAAACTTCTCATCTTATCTCATAATTTTATCTCTATGATCTCCTATGCGATGTTTTTTTTTTATTCTTTTTCAATAATAGCCATTCTGGGAAATATGAAAAATTAAACTAGAATTGGTTGTAAACTCAATTAAATAGGAATGTAAAGTTTAACATTATTATCGAATATAAATCATTTTATCACATAGATCACAAAATTTGAAAATAATGGGAATAAGGCAGAAGTTTTCTCTCTTCAAGACTAAGACTAGAGATCAGCATAATTAAAGCTGTTGCTATTTAATATTAAATAAATGTGTTTCGTTTTATACATTGATGGAGTAATTATAGAGGATTTAGTTATTCAGAATACTAATTTATTTAATTGATTATTTCTTGTATCAATTTTTGACAAAGATATATATCCAATATGTTTTAATATAAAGTACATTTTGATCCTAATTCAAGACTTAAAGGCATTAATACGTCTCACCAATTACGGAACATTAAAAAATATTAATACAAGTTGTAGTATTTTTTTTTTCAGAAACATCAAGTGATACTCTGTATAATCTTTAATCGAGAAATCAATACTATTTCTGTTTTACAAAAAATTATCTCCAGGCAGGGAGGGGGGGGGGTGTCATTCACTTTAATGAAATTTTCTAAAAGGACTCCTGCAATTTAGTAAACTATATGATCACAAGAAAAAACATGAAGTCAATATACATTTCAGATTCTATAAATAGTAACTCAAGTCTTTATGCTGTTATATACTTAACCATGTGATCAAGTTTGAGCCAATCAGAGAGCTTAGTATTAAAGGTGATATCACCTTTCCATGTTAAATAGATGCTATCACCTACCAGGTATTTGAATAAGTGGTATCACCTATTCGAAAAGGTGATATTACCTATTTGATTTTCTTACAACAGTCATTAATGAATGCTCCCTATAATATATATGTAACGTGTATGGGTCCGTGAATTTGAATATAGATCCTTAATCAACCA